TCGCCGCCCTGCCTTCTCTGGGCTACTAGCTATGCGAGATAGCACCGGAATCTAGATAAGCGCCACTCCCAATATGCCTGCTCTACTCAATTCCCACGTGTATCGGGGACTGCGGACACGACAAAGACAAGAGTCGAACTGAGGGTCTCCCGGACTAACGCTCAAGTAGCTCGGAGCCCTAAACACGTCCGCTCACAGCGCCACCTTGCCCCTAACGGCGTGAGTATCGCCGAAATCTAGAGCCACCAGACGCGGGATTTCAATGGCCTCGTTGGACTTGGGACGCCGGACGGGCCTCGTGGGTGCCAGGGCACATTCCATCCGAGATAAGCCGATTCAATTGTATCTCTGGTTTTCTACTGTTTCCCGTTCTCCTTCCATGATTATTTCAATATCAATCATGACATTCACTTTATTCTGATGCACTCGTCTCAGGAAACCATGGTGTAACAATTGATGAATTGAAGCACGCCACAGCCACAATCTCGGTGACGCGGTGGCTGCTGACGAGGTACTCTGTTCGGAGCTTCCACTGGGCTGTCGCCGACGCCTCTGCAGGCGGGGTTCGGCGCTGCGAGCCACGGGATCTCGGGGGTGGTTGTAGACGTGGGCTGCTCTATGGGCTCCTCGCAGCGCAGGAACCAGTGCGGCTTTTTCAGGCTACCTCCCGATTTGAATATTGGCCACCCCTCATGTAATTAATTATGAGCCATGCTCATTTGATTGATCTTCGGTTATCTAGGGTTTCACTGTCCCCCTTCCACCATTATTCCAATATCAATCATGACATCCACTCTCATGCACTCGTCTCTGTAAACCAAATGGAATGCGGGATGTGTTTGGAAGCCATCCAGCGGCCACCCTGCGGCCATCCAGCAGCCATCCAGTGACCCGTCGGTGTCGTAATCGTTGCGATCGAGGTACTACGTTCGTAACTAAGGAACTCAGAGGTAGTTGTGTCGTAGGCACCCTGATGCTGATGCTGACCCACAAGTGTCACAGACTGCTCTGTTACGCCGTCTTTCTTTCAACCATTCAATCATTATCATTCATGGAAACCACGTCATTCTTATTCACTCAACCCACTGAACCATCTCCAGTTCTGAAAAATTCTGCGATTACGTTTCTAACGCTCGACTCCATCTCAGCAGACGCCGCTGCAGTCGAGGTATGGCTCTTGAACCTACGGGAACTCGGGGGAGTTAAGTAACGGACAGGTGTATGCCTGACCAAGAGGGTACGATCAAGAAACTACGTGTGAATATGTCGCTTGTTTCATCAGGCCATCTCATGGCTCACTTGTTTGCTCTTTTATTTTTGTTTTGTTTTAATGGTCACCCTACTGACGCAGTCTCCGTACGATTATTAATGACAAAAAAGGGTTCACTTCGTTCCTTCAATATTATGCTCAAGATACTTCTCATTTCACCATTAATCCATACATTTACTCTTATCAACATAATAATTGAATCAACTCATTGTCGTTCGTTAAGGGGTTCCTGATCCGATACCAGCAACGCTCGGCCCACCCGATGGTTCTGCAACTGCGCTCGGAAGTTTGAGATATAGAGAATAAGCGACCGACAGAGTAGCAATTAGGACAAATTTGCACTCAGACGTATCCCAGGATTCAAATCCTGATTAATCAATAAGTTATGTGAGAAAGTTTATATTCGTTTTATGGTTACTCTGTGCCTTTTATCCCACTATTTCTCTATTATCTTCCATACTATCAACTTTATTATCCGAAGCTAGATTCTTGTCCCTTCTCTACCGAGGTTGAGAGCGTAGGCTTCCGCGGCCGCAGTTAGTATTTACTTGGCTGTCCGGGTGACGCTGCGTCCTTGGCGAAGGTGCCGACGTTTCCGTCGCCATTCTGCGACCTTCCTCAGGGTGTAATGCGCGGAGATGTACTGCGCACGAGTTTAAATCGGGCTTAGTTTCTCCTCTACCAGAGTGCCGGTTGCCCGGGTGGTCACATCTCCGCGCATTACGCTCTGAGGAAGGTCGCAGAATGGCGACCGAAACGTCGGCACCTTCGCCATGGACGCGGCATCACCCGGACAGCCAAGTAAATCTACGGAGGTTCTTTTTCATTCACTAATCAACCAATGTGCGTGCGGAATTACGTTTCCATACCCCCGACGCTCATCTCTGAACTGACTGCACTGTCCTCCCGCAAGGGGGAACCGACGGCGTGAGGGTCAGAGACTCCGAAGTCCATCAGGTTCCCAGTTTCTTGGTGAAACTCACGTCGTTAGCGCAAAGATGGGTGCAGTGAGGAGGCGGTGTTAAGATTCTGGTTACTCGGACTTGCCATTAACACGTAAGTTGGGCCCCTATGCGCCGACCTTGGGAGCAGGATTGGGAACGGAACGTGGTCCCGCACCCACGTAAAGAAGTCCGTCGAGGCCATTGAAATCCCGCGTCAGGTCGCTGTAAATTCCGACAATACTCACGCCGTTAGTGTCAGGTTCGCGCAGTGAGTGGACGTGTTTGGGGCTCCGAGCCGCCTGGACTTTATTCCGGGAGGCCCTCAGTTTGACTCTTGTCTTCGTCGTGCCCGCAGTCCCCGATACTCATCGGAATTGAGTAGAACAGGCATATTGGGAGTGGCGCTTATCTAGATTCCGGTGCTATCTTGCATAGCTAGTAGCCCAGAGAAGGGAGTGCGGCGCCACCGAGGCTTAACCGTTTGCGGTCCTTTGTCCCATGTGGCGGAACGCAGCGCTTTCCTCGTTGCAGACCCTTCAAATCCCCAGGTACTTCATTGCAGTGGTCCGGCACGCCACGGTTTAAGAAACTGTACTCTGGTTCTAAAGAAAATAATTTTATTTAAAAAAATACATTTTATCTTGTCTCTAATTCATAATACATAAATAAGAAGTCAAAGTTTGTAATTTTGAAGGGAATGATACCCTTCAAAACAATTTATTGGATGTAGGTCTGGTTTTCTGGGACATGTCTTACAAAAGAACACTGTTTTTCCTTCCTCTTTGAGTAGTTATGCCGCTGCACACGACATAATCTTTGCCTACTCTGTTTTCTTGTTGATATAAATAATGCTGATTTCCATTTAATCACCCTTCTTTATCAAGACTGCATTGTTTTCCCATCCTGGCGCTATTCTTACTTCGAACACCTTGCACCAAATCAATCACTAAGCTTTACAAAATTGGAGATGCGTTAATTGTTTTTGCAATTTATTTAATTAAGAATTTAAAAAACATGTTTACTGTCAATACTTATATCAACCGGAAAACAATTTGTGCCACCAATTGGTGGATTTACGCGTAAAACTGTAGCTCGAAATGTAATGGTCAGCTCTATCGACAGAACTTTTTTTTCGTGTAGGAAATAATTACTTTTGGTTTATTTATGACTACTTGGGTTTGCTTCACTTTCACTGCGTCGGGGCTGGCATCATGAATGATGACAACATCAAAACTTCTCTCTTATCTTTCCATGACAGAACCATGACACCATTCATCGTGTACGCAGTAACGTGGTGTTTCTGAACTTTTCTTTTCTTTTTCTGTATGTAGTCGGAAATGCATACTCTGTTTCTGTTGAGTATTCACATGAAATCACACTTCATGTGTGGTAATACATGTCTGTATATATATATATATATATATATATATATATATATATATATATATATATCCGGAAACCAACACAATTCACAGACTGTAATAGTTCTTTACATAGATGCAGCATCCAATGAATTTGATGAAATCTAGTGCGATTAGAAACCTCGGAAAAAATGGCTTATAAGTAATCCATTCTTTGGAGAAATAATTTTGGTGCGTGGTTTTCGTGTTAATACCATATTTAATGTAACACCCAGATATGCTTTCATTTCTTCAACGGATACTGGTTTCCACGAGTTCCAAACAGAGCCTTTTTGAAGCGGCTTCTCACTTGCGTATTTATTCTTTCTTCAACAATTATTTTATATAAACTTTTCTGTGAAAAAAGCTGAAATGCTTCAATTGGCATTGTTGAAACTGACCTTGCTTGTGGCTGAAATCCAGCTGATGTAGCGGTAAAACGTTGAGAATGTAAATTGTTGTTTGGCGCAGAGATTCACCTAATCACCAGCAATGTCTATAGATTGCATTGTATAAGTGGGGACCATATCATCACTACTATCACTTTCTTCATATTCTTCAGAATCACTTGAGAAAATATTTGCAGATTCTTCATTAACTCTTCTCCCACCTGCGGGGCAACGCTACAGTCGGGTCAAACTCAAAGCTGCCGACGTGTGTGGTAGTGTGAGGCATGTGAGTAAGGGGTGAGGACAGGGCAAGGAAAAAGAAGGAACTATAGTGCGCATTCCGTGGCTGATTTTTGACTCTTGCATTCACCTGGTGCGGATTGGAGAGACGTCATACAACTACCGGATAGAGGAGCCGGTCGCTACAATTCTCCTCCAGACAGCGGCTGAATCCTAGCTAAGAAGCTAGTGTCAACAATCCTGCCAACGTTAGGATTCAAACCTTAGGACCTCCTAGTCATAGGCACTGAAGTGACATCACTTAATACTCTGAGCCACCTAACTCTTTACAGGTGCTCGACGTATAGGCCCATGAGCTGTGCCATCAGCGCCAAAAGTTCGAGACTTGCTCCTTTCCTCTCATAAATGACCAACATCATTGACTCACTACAACACTACTTCTATTGTCCAAAAGAGCTTGAATCATGACCTATATGACATGGTCATGAACAATGAATGTAAACTAATTTACATCATGTGAGACAACATCATATTGCAATTCATTTGAAAATGTTTTGTATTACTCAGCATTCATCAACTTTCTGACATGAATAAGAACCCCAAAATGACCGAAATTTTGCTGAGGAATTATTCACTCTATGTAAGTTTAGAAAATACTGAAGGATAAATAAGCTATTCCTTATAATAAGAAAAAAGTGAATTGTCTAGATCAGCGAATTAGAGAGTACAGCTGGAAAGGTGAAATAACAAAATTTACCTGCGTTATGTCAGTTCCGTCGCCAAGGAAGGCGGGCCAAATGCGGATGTTCCTCTTGGGTGCGGTAGCGAGTCAGTCGTCCTCATCGTGAGGATCATCCCTTCAAGATAATCACCACCTTCAAAGTAATCATGAAAAATCATCTTAAAAATCATTGATGAACACAGTCACAGTGATAAAGCACCGCTAATTATTGGAAAGTTTTGAATATATTTCTATTATTTTCTTAATATTTTAACTCACTATATATACATATTATTTGGTGAGCTTGTTTAATTCATGTTATATGCTAAGGAAAGATTATGAGTTTTGCATCATCTATTACATCATCGACCCAAAACACGGCAAATGTGTTAATGCAAGGTATGAAAGCAGTCATGGAGAGTCATCATACATATTAAAGATGCAGTTAAATAATTAGTATTTCCCGAATTTTTCAAAGGACAACAACATGTTCGCCTATAACCCGCTACACATGCTGCAAAGCGTTAGGTATAAATAACGTTGCCGCGTGTACTCGAATACGTACGTAGTATATGTAATCTGTACGTAGTATAATCAATGCGTGTGTAGGTAATCTAATCCCAGGGTTGTATAAGACGTCAATGTTTCAAAATTCATTTAAACCATGCAATAAACATTTCGATTTTCATTTATTATACTTAAAATTGGGGATTTTTAATCTTAACTAAGCCTTGTAAAATTCGTGGAAGAATCTTACTTATTCCGTATAACCTATGAATTCAAAGCAATGTTAACAATTAGGTAGGAAATTATCATAAATATAGGAAATAATAATAATCAATCTATAAAAAACATCAGTCATTATTTCTGCAACAAGCCAATTATTAATATCAGAGTTCTTTATTTTCTACGTAATAAATGGAAATGAATATGAATTCAAGTATTTTACAACTCGAACTACAAATTGACCTTCACTTTATAGACAACTGATTCATTTCAGAATAGTTTGCCCTGTCTGCAAATTGTGAAGCGAAACATGACTCCTACAGTCAGACATTTGAATTCGTACATAGATTATTCCATTTTCATCAACGGTCTGTTAAAGCATCAATTTACAAAATTCCCTACGTCTTAAAATTAATATGTTAAATTTATAACACAATACATTTTTATATTCAACGTGATGATATACGAATAACAGATCCCCGTTTACAACTCTTTTGTAATTATAAAAACGTGAAATTATGAAAATGAAATCATTATCTCCAGTCGTAAAAGAAAAAGTCCGTTCACAATTTCTATTGACAAGTACAAAAGTAAAACTGAACATAAATGACAACAATTAAAATATACGAACCCTCTAAAAACGCCAAAAAGTACGTTCAATCGCGTATATGAAAATATAAAGTTTTCATTATTATATTAATTATATAACCACGAGTGTCGAGATATCGACATTTCTCTTCGGTCCCATTCATGAGAACAAGAAATAGAAAGGCAAAAGATTTTGTGGCCATTAAATCGTAAACGGTTCTACAAGATTATTCCAGAACCACGCAATCGAAAGGAACAATGCTTCCGCGCAATTTAATGGCAGCCCATATCTCCCACTTTCCCACGCGCTTCGGTGGCTACAAAGGCGGCGGAGTTCGACCTCGAGGGCTCTTTCTTTCGGAGTCGATCGCTTAAAATCGATAGCAACGTAATCGAGAAGTAATAGCTCATATGGCGCCAGAAAAGTTGCTTTCGGCTACAAAGCAAATAAATATACCCACAATAAAAAAGAATAAATGTCTAATGTTCCGCTGCAAGATTTAATTCGTTGCGAGGAAAAGTAATCTTGGATGACCCAATGAAGAAATTTGAAATAAGAAAAGGATGTATAGCGTCTAGGCATCCTCATTCACTAATAATAATAATAATAATAATAATAATAATGATAATAAATTAACGTACCCCCTCAATTCTGTGGAGACAATCATGGATTGGTGACATGCTTACATTCATCCTAGAGTTCCGTAATACAATATGTGCCGTAATTACAAATTTGTAACGTGTGTTATAATTAAATTCTAGTTCTCAGAATTCCTTAACTAGACTAAATTGTATGGATGATTCAATAATGGAAGAAAAATGTATGTAAAACTAAACATATTGAATCGTTAACGCGTGAGCTTGGGTGCAATAAACTAACAAAGAAAATAATGCTTATACCATTATATTCGTTTAAAAACGAAATTTATTGTCTAATATGCCCTTTTGGTACGGAATAATATTACAAAACACCGACAGTCACCAATTATGTACTGTTATTGTTATTATTATTATTATTATTATTATTATTATTATTATTATTATTATATGCATATCGGCCATTTATGACCATGCTTCACGTTATCTTCTGAGACCCGGAGAGAGTAACCTGTCTAATTATAGGAATCAGATTTTTACGGCTGTATTCCTTAATAAGACACTGTTGTTATGCCTAGAATTATGAACAATGAGGTAATAGAGTGATAATGTGGTGAAGGGACAATCACAAATACGACTATGCCTACCTAGGACTCGAACCTCCAGTTTCCTCGGCGCAGACGACGACTGCGGCAACCGTCTGCCCACCGGCATTATTATTATTATTATTATTATTATTATTATTATTATTATTATTATTATTATTATTATTTTGTTTTGGGGCTACAATAGAACTCATTACTTTGAACGATACGGCTTGATACCCCTTCAACACAATGCAACACAGCAGCAGCAACAGAAGTATCGCCAGAAACGGTCTCAAGACCCAACCTTGAACAAGATACACTCTGTCGAGAGCACATTTCCCGAAGAGCAGGCGACAACGTCTTTCATTAGCTAACCGTGTTTCCAATTTCCTCCAGCCGAAAGTGAATTGCGGCGAGGGAAATTCCCGAAACAAGGGCGAAACTTACTGCTTCTTACGCAACATCCGCCATCTGGAGACGCCGACGTCGAAAACAGATGCAGAGAGGTTTATGAATCGTGCGGAAGTTAGCTATGCTGCCGTTTCCCTGCAAGGGGGACACAAGCTTCCCCTTGTTACATGCCGCCACTGGGGAGAAAACTGAATGTGGTGTTCACGTTACGACAATGGAAAGTAGAAAATCACTTAGAAATCACAAAAAAGCAAACAGAGAGAAGGTTGACTTTTCTGAAATAAAAGCGAATAAATGATTTGTACTTTTGAAAAAGGAATGAAAAATGAGATTATTTATTAGTGTGGCTTCCCCTTAACTGCAATGAATGAAGAAGACTAGATGTGAAATATGTAAAACAAAGGTTTGTGGAAATTTCAATTGCCTAGTAATTTCGAATAGTACCTAATGTGTATCCAGAACTTCAATTCGCACGTAGCGCGTTTGTCATGAATGTTTGAGCTGTTTTGAGGATCTAAATATTCGAAGTATCAGAAATAGCATAATCAGTCACGTAGAAACTATGCCGCAATCATCCTTACAACAGGAACACGTATATTTCTTTTAATATGGCATCATTGGAGAGATAACCGAATATGGTTTACATTTCATTGTGACTTTGGGAAACAGAAAACATATGAAATGGCAAACTTATGAAATGGAAAAAAAATGAAAGCAGACGTTACTAGTGATGATATCCTCCTCAATCTGAAGATTCTTGGAGCAGCTTGCTCCTAGATTTATGGATAGGTGGTTCCAGTGACAAGTTTGTTATATGATTCACAGCATAGGAGATGGTAGGTGTTATTATGAGGAGTGATGTTGAGAGATGAATGAGTACAGAGATGATATTTCAGATGGGAGAAGTAGTGATAAGAGAATCTCTCTGAGCCACGACTGAAATGGAAGCAACCCTGCTTTATGCGTGGGCGAAACTAAAGGTTTTGGCTCTGCGTACGTTGAAGAAACTTCAAGACTTGCGCAACCGAAGCAAGCTGTTTATTGCTAAACTATTAAAATACTACACTACTAAACTATTACTGGAAAATGCTCGTACCTAAAATGTGAAAAAAATTTTGGAAATACATCCAATGGAAAATATATCCTCTGAACATAAACTTTAAAGTTTTGCTAAGAATTAATCACAAATTTTCTTTTTTTAAATCCACATGTAATTGAAAATTTCCCACTTTTGTCTAAACCTCTGAAGTAAAGGAAGCAAAAGACTAGAAAACAAATTAAATTTATTCAATCTAAACTGGTGGTGCTACAACAGCACGTACTTCGTCGAATTATTTCTAACTCTTGCAATATTCGAAGAAAATATTCTGAAAATGGTGTTAATACTTTATATAAAGTAGCAACCCAAAAAATAAATTCCTCGTCAAACTCGCATGTTCTTGACTTCATGCAGATCGATCGGGGAATATCACTTTTAGAGAAAATCGTCTGAACGCTTTAAGATAATCATTTACCACAGATGGTCAGTTTTCACGTAAATAAAATTTATGTATCAAAGACCCACAAAATGTGAAATCTGTCTACAAAACGTGTTAGAGGAAATAATGTACTTCATACAGGAAATATATTTATTCACTTTTTTGTAATCAAGACCGACATTTTCTGTAAAAAAATCGCCGGTTTCGGCTGAAGTAATTCCAGCCAATTCTTACTAATACGTAAGTACGTAGTAGGTCAATAAAGTAATAATGTATAAGCTTTTATCCTACATACTTTGCCTGCTTTTAAATATCAGTACCGTTATTGTAATTAGTGTCGGTTGGGTTAATGCCTTCCTTCACAATCGGATATTTCTGTCTATTACTCGACAATTAACATTGAAAAGGCGGCGATAGTCCCCTTTTTATGGGGGGGGAAGAAATGTAAACCTCCTCTTCTGATAGCTTTAAACAGTGGTTAATATTTTATGACGTAATAAAACAAGAACTGAAATGAATGTACATTGTAATTTTCACATTAAAAAAGTAATGTACATGTGATTTATCTTAAATATTGTAACCCATTCTTGCAAGAAAATCAGTAAAGAATGTGAATGTAAAATGTAACAATATGTGGTTAAAGAAATTTTCAGATAGCACAAACGTCTCCTACAGATAAAAATGTGTGCGATTGCTCCGCAGGTACATCTAAATAATTGCATTTAGCACTTTTTTCTGGATTATAAATTCCTAAAATTAATATTAGT